AAATTTAAATTTAGATTTGAAAAAGGGTAAGTGTTAGAGGTGCCCCTAAGTAAATCACAATTATATGTTCTGTTAAAATTGTGTAACAAGATCCTTAGATTAAAGGTTCTGTAAGAATTTAGAACATAAAATCTTTATTACAAGGAAAATAGATGTCAAGGATTGGATACGTCACATAATTTTTTTTTAATCAATTCCAAAACTATTTTGGAAAATAAACAGTAAACGTGCACACACACTCCAAAACGACTATGTGATCTTGTACTTTGTAGCCTACATTATATTGAATTGGGTACTGATCTTGAAATGTTTTTTTTTTATTCACATTTTATCACAAAAACGAAGTTTTACATAAAAAATATTTCTTGCAACCAAAAAACTTGATTAAGTTGGTGAAATCCAAAAGTTTCGGTGAGATGAAAGAATTCATAAAATACTTTAAAAATGTTAATATTGATAAAGGGAAAAAAAGAGAGAGAGGGGTCAAGAATAATGTTTAGAATAATTCATTCTGTAATACAACCTTTACTCAAATACACAATGTAGGTCCTTATATATTAGGGCAACAAAATAATGTAAAATACCTAAACTACCCATAATATAAATACTCTAACATCCCCCCTCAAACTCATGATGTGGTAGCATCAAACATCAAGAGTTTGCCAAGGAGAAAACGAAAGTATGCGATAGTGTGGGATTTAGTAAAGAAATCTGTCAACTGCATAGTAGAAGTAAGATATGGGAGAGAGATCGTGCCCAACTGAAGATGATGGCGCACAAAGTGACAATCAATCTCTATATGTTTGGTACGCTCATGAAACACCGAGTTGTGAACAATGTGGATAGCGCTGGTGTTATCACAATTCATAGGAGTAGTAGTAGTCAAGGAAATGTCAAGATCAGTAAGCAACCAACGCAACCAAACTATCTCTGCTGTGGTAGATGTCATAGCGTGATACTCAGCTTCAGCAGAAGAGCGAACTACAACAGTTTGTTTCTTGCTTTTCTAGGAAATAAGAGAATTATCAAGAAAGAGACAAAAATAAGTGGTAGATTTGCGATCCATAGAGTCACCAGCCCAGTCCGCATCAGAGTAAGCACGGAGCTCCAGAGACAAAGAAGAAGAAAATAATAAACTTTGATGTAACGTACCTCGTAGATATTGAAGAATCCAAAGAACAACAGACCAGTGAAGTGTGGTAGGAGCAGCAACAAACTGACTAACCACATGAACCGCATAAACAATATCTGGACGAGTAATAGTAAGATATACTAAACTTCCAATAATAATACGATATAAGGTAGGATCTGGCAGGAGAGAACCATCAGAGGAAGTATAACGAACATTGAGCTCCAAGGGTGTGTCAACCGTTCGAGTATCCGATAAGCAAGCTCGCTGAATAACATCTGAGACATATTTGGACTGAGAAAGAAGATAACCCTTGGGAGAGGAAGCAACCTCAATTCCTAAGAAATATCGAAGTGGACCTAGATCTTTCATCTCAAAATAATCCTGTAACTGAGTTTTCAACAGCTGAATTTCAGCAATGTCATCACTTGTAATAATCATGTCATCCACATAAAGTAACAGAAGAATGAAATCAGAAGAAGTGGATCGAAGGAAGAGAGCAGAATCATGATCACCAGCATAGAAGCCTAAGTTACAAATAACTGAAGAAAAATTTACAAACCATGCTCTTAGGGCCTGTTTAAGACCATATAAAGTCTTGTGAAGTTTGCACATATGACCAGGAGTACAAGGCAACCCAGGAGGAGGAGTCATATATACTTCTTCAGATAAATCACCATGAAGAAAAGTATTTTTCACATCCATCTGAGATAGGCTCCACTGACGAACAGCTGCCATAGCTATTACTGTGCGAATCGTGGTCATCTTAGCCACTGGAGCAAAGGTCTCATCGTAGTCAAGCCCATACTCTTGAGCAAATCCCTTGGCCACTAATCTAGCCTTGTTCCTTTCCACAGAACCATCAGATTGGGTTTTGATTTTATAAACCCACTTACAACCAATGAGACATTTATCAGGTGGTAAAAGCACTAACTCCCAAGCACGAGTCTTATGTAGCATAGAAAGCTCCTCATCCATAGCCTGTTGTCAAAGAGGATCAAGTATAGCCTCTTTATAAGAAGTTGGTTCAGACAGAGAATGTATAAAAGTTAGGAAAGAATAAAAATCAGAAGAATAACAAGAGTTGGACTAACCAAATCTGTCAGGACACTTCCGAGTGCGTTGAGGATAACGGGGAGTGTGATCCATGGTGTTAGAAATTGATTGGGAGCCAAGAGGTGCAGAGGAAGGCACAACATCTGTGGAGGAGACAGTGGGAGTCCTGCGAACATTAGTATGCACAATCTGGGGACGGGTAACAAACAAATCAGGCAAAGAGGAAGAAGAAGAAAAGGTGGGAAGATTAGCCACAGTCATATCACTAACATAGGAATCAGGAGAAACATTAGAGGGAAAGGGATCAAGATAGATAAGATCAGATTTATGCAGAAATGAAGAACTAGATAGAATAGAGAAAAAAGGAATATGCTCCATAAAAACATGGCGAGAAACATAGAATTTGTGTACTAGGATCTTAACACTGAAATCCCTTTTGTCCCTTACTGTAGCCAAGAAAAACACATAAGGCTGACCGAGTCGAGAGTTTGGTACGATTAACACTAGGTAGCAGAACAAAACATATACATCCAAACACACGTAAGGAGAAATAGTCAGGTGTCTTACCACATAATTTTTCAATGGGTGAAACACCAGGATTAAAGATTGTAGGAATGCAATTAATTAGATGAATTGCTGTAAGCACTGCTTCTCCCCAAAAAGAGCTAGGGACACCGGATGACAATAACAGAGAACGAGCTGTCTCAATAATGTGACGATGTTTCCGTTCAGCCACTCCATTCTGAGCAGGTGTATCAGTATAAGAAGACTGAAAAATAGTACCATCAGATTTCAATAAATCACGAAAGGCACTAAAAGAATATTCTCCACTTTGATCACAGCGAAAGCATTTGATGATAGAAGAATATGGAGTATGCACCATAGCACGAAAGGTAGTAAAAATGGAAAAGAACTCAGACCTATGTGTCATTAGATACACCCAACAATATCTGGTATGATCATCAATAAAGGAGAATAATATCTAGACCCCCCTTTAGTAGCAATAGGAGCTGGCCCCCAAATATCAAAATGTATAAGATCAAAAGGTGCAAGAGAACAAGAATTATTTTTATTGAAAGGTAATGCAGTAAATTTTGTCAACTTATAACCACTACAATTTGAAATATTATGGCATTCTAAAATACCTAAACTACCAGTAGAAGCTAGAAATTTTAAACGAGAATGAGAAGCATGACTTAAACGAGAATGCCATAAATAAAAACTAGACGACTTTGGACTCAATTGAAAAGAAGATAAATCAACAATAGATGCAACAACTTCAGGAACATGAAGTTCGACCAACACATATAGCCTTCCATTTTTATGGCCTGTCCCAATCAGCTTCTTGGACCGTGGATCCTGCACAACACAACCAGTAGAAGAAAAGTGAACTAAGAATCCCGAATCAAACAACTGACTAACAGATATTAAATTTAAAGTAAGTTGAGGAATATAGTAGACATCAAGAAGTGTAAGCTAGAAAGATACGATAGTTCCAACACCAGCCAAAGACATTTGGGTGCCATTGGCTACAAGGACAGATATAGAGGGAGGGGAAACAATAGAAACAAATAAGGAAGAATTGTTAGTCATATGATGGGTGGCTCCTGAGTCAAAGACCCAGGCAATTCGAGATATACCTGAAGGACCTCTAATAAATTAACCAGTGGAAGGAGAAATTGATAGGGCACCTAGTTGATGAAGGGAAAGAAGCTTCTGCAACTGATCAGCTATCATAGTCATGCTGGCAGCTGATGGAAGTGTCTCATCCACTGGTGAAGTAGCTGCAGTTGTATGACAATCTTTGGGCTTAAATGGCTGCTGTAAGCCTTGGCATTCCTGTTCACCAATTTAGGACATTGAGCCTTGCAATGACCATTCTCACGATAAAAACTACACTCATCTGAAACAGCTCGACCCCGATATTTAGTTTGTGAGTGAGAAGTCCCTCTGAGTGGTACTACCAACACCTAAAAATAAAAAAATTGAATAAATAGTGAATAAAAAAACCAAGCATAAAGACCTTGACAAATCAAATTTCTAAATAAAAAAACCAAAAATAAAAAAATTGAATCTAAATAATGAATAGGACACATCACATTCTCTTAAACTCCTAGATTACACTTAAATTAGATCATCAAAACAACAGTTGATAGTAAGAAAACATCAAATGAAGCTAAGCATTGATATAAAAAAAGAATCACGCACCGATGCAAAAAAAGAATCACATAAACAATCAAGAATTCTTACACGTTGAAGTCATCATCTTCAATACCGTTTACAAGTGCTATTTTCGTAAGATCCATGATAACTTGCATAGGAAAGCAAAAGCTAAAGACTGAAATGAGGGAGATATGGAAGTTACTGAGAATAACTAAAATACCAGTAGCCTCTATTATTTAAGGGTGGGGCTATTATCACCTTACAAATCTCTGTTCCCACCCTATTAAATTCTAAATTATAAAACTATTAACCCCACTCTTTCTATATTTACCTCACTCGTAACTAAGTCCACCTCATTCTATACCCACTCCATTAATGACTAAACTCATCTCAATCTTCACATTTAGTTAGGGTTTCTTTATATACCTCATCTATTACAACCCCATTAATGGCAATGGCCTCAAATGTCTTCCATTGGCCAAAACCTCCAGATACTTGTCCAGTAGAATGAATGAAATGACTAGTGAGCTAGTTTAAAAAAATTCAGTGTTCTTAAAAGTTGGAGGACTAGCAGCTCTCAACACAGAGTAGATCGAATAGAAGTAAGCTCCCAAAGGCAATCAAGACGTCCATATTTGCACTTTGAAGAGCCATGGTGCAATGCTTTGTAAGAACCGGTGTAGAATCGTTGGCCAATGATGAACTGCACTGGAGTAGATAGTATCCACCTCAAAAGCTCTCCAATAGTCAAAATATCGACCACTTTGGTATCCAATCCATGCTTAATTCCAAGGATATACATAAGGACTATGGAGGTTAAGAATACTGAAATTGTAAAAACCAAACTCCATAGGAAGGATCTATAGTATTGTTTGATTTCCTCCCGTCTATGGGCATCTCTTCCTCCTCCTCCAGGAATTATCATCGCCTTTATGAGATATAGAAAGAAACCCTAAATGTGAAGATTAAGATGAATTTAGTCATTAACGGGGTGGGTATAGAATGGGGTGAACTTAGTTACTAGTGGGGTGAGAATAAAAGGAGTGAGGTCAGTGGTTTGATGATTTAGAGCTTAATGGGGGTGGAAACGGAGATTTATGGGGTGAGAATAGCCCCACCCATTATTTAAAGAGAAGATTTCTCTACTGCTTGGAAAGTGAGGGTTTGGAAGTAGAGCACTGTTATTCTTATATTGTTTTGTAATTTTCTCTAATGTTATAAATATGAAAGGCCTTCCTATATGTAATACTATATATTCATTGCACTTATAATTGCAAGTAGAGAGTTAAAACAAAAAATAGGATATGATTGTCATTATATGAATTTTTTTTTGGTCAAAATCTTTATATGATTAAGTGGAGGTAGAACAGAAAATTAAAAGTTTTTCTCATTAGCTTCCTTTTATTAGTAGTATAGATAGATAAGTTCTAGCTAATTCATGTCTTTACTGTTGGAATTTAGGTCCTCAGCCGGATATCAGTTTTGGGATCTGCATTTTTGGCAATTCTGGCTGGTGGTCCTGCCGTGATCGAACAAACCACACACCTGACTGCGTTTCGGGGATTCGCTGGCACATCAGTTCTCATTCTTGTTGGTTGTGCAACAGACACGGCAAGGAAAGTGCAAGCCGAGATAATATCCCAGAAGTATAAGAACATTGAGTTCTATGACATTGACAAGTACAGCCCATAAAGAGAGAGAGAGAGAGAAAAGGCCGGAAACGTTTAATAGGAAAGAACATGTAACATCACGACTAAAAAAAAAGAACTTGTAACATTGATGTGATCAATGTAATTAGTTTTCGCCAAGAGGTAAAGTTACAATTCACTTGCCAATGTATTTATATCGACAGCTTTTGTACATTTACATTTTTTACTTATAGTTTGTTTCTTGTATCTTGAACAAAAATGCTGCTGCACAGCTACAATTTTATTCATTTTTCGGCCAAGTAGTTTTGTTCAACGTTGGTTTCATTGGAAAGTCTGCCATTCTTGACTTCTTTTTCCTGATTTTTTTGAAACCCATTTCCCTTGTTTTAGCAACCCAGGGATTTGATGAGATCCATAGAGATCGTAGTTAAGTCAAGATATCGCCAATGACTTGTAGGGTTTAGAGATACATCAATTGTGGCATTATGATGCAATATTGGGTGATATGACCTTAAAAAAAGGTGAACATAGCTAAAGATTTAAGCTAATATCACAGCGTCACAAAATAGTATTAGTCAGTGTGGTGAAGACAACGCAACAACTTAGGGTTGAGTTTGAGACAATTTGACAGAGTCGTGCGAAACTTAGAATTTATAATAATCTGTAATGGTATTGCTTTTAAAGGTGCCGAGTTAGATACGAATCAGTCAATTCCTTTCAGTATCAGACGATATTTTGAACCTTGATAGAAATCTATCAATATCTACATAATTTAGATAAGGATGAGAGATTTAGATAAGGGGGAGAGATGATGATTATAAAGAGGATGTGGCAATTATTTATCTAATACTATTCCTCATTCCGATAAGGATGAGAGATGATGATTATGATGAGCATGATACAATTATTTACCCAAATACTATTCCTCATGCGTGACCCCTATTTGGGTGGTCTATCACATGATTTTCACCCCCGTTTTTATGCAGTAAGAGAGGAGATCTAGTGGGATTCGAATCTTTAAGCTCTGATGTTATAATGGAGGATCTCTATCTTGTTTTATAGCTACTTCAGTACTAAAAGGAAGTAACAAAAGTACTTCAAAAAGCATTACCCAATGGTGGTTATCTTTCATTGCAATTTTGACAAACTTCAACTAGGGAGGCGACTTCGGTACCACCAATGTGTTTTTTGGTATTATACTAAAAAACACGTGGCTAAGGAGGTAAAATTCTTAATTGCTCAACTATAAACCTCATAGTTTACGATACTGGTAATGAAAAGACACATTAGCTGATAGAGTGGGATCCATGCTGCTAAAGAACGTTTGACCCAAATCTCCTCCCTCTTTATTCTGTCACTAAAATATTCATTACCAACTCAACAATTCAAAGAAGGGTTAATCTCATTTTGTACTTCGAAAAATTGTTCGAATCTTAATTTACACCCTCAAAGATCAAAAATTTCAATTTACACCCTCAAAGATAGAAATTTGTATCAATGTGCACCCCCAAAGATCAAAAATCTCAATTTGCACCCTCAAAGATATAAATTTATATCAATGTGCACCCCAAAGATAAAAAATCTCAATTTACACCCTCAAAGATAGAAATTTGTATCAATGTGCACCTAAAAACTAAATTGATAAATTATACCTAGATCCTCTCATACTTGTCACTTAATCATTTGGGTTAATCTCATTTTGCACCCTAAAAGATTGTTCAAATCTCAATTTACACCCTCAAAGATCAAAAATCTCAATTTACACCTTCAAAGATATAAAGTTGTATCAATGTGTATCCTCAAAGATAAAAAAATCTCAATTTGCACCCTCAAAGATAGAAATTTGTATCAATGTGTACCTAAAATTAAATTGATAAATTATACCTAGATCCCCTCATGTTTGTCACTTAATCATTTGAACTCCTTCACATTTAGAATATTCCCTTTGCATCTTATGACGTTTGTGCATGTGTAACACATAACCACTTTTCGTTGATATCTGTTAATATAATCATTAAAAAATATGATTTTATCCTAATAAAAAATTATAATTTCATATTAGCTTTTATTTTGTGGATTCGATATACTCTAAAGTTAAAAATTAAGCTTACCATTTGAATGTCTAATAAAATGTAAATATTTATATAATGTTTTTCATATTACCTTTTATATAAATATCTACATTTTATTAGACATTCAAATGGTAAACTAGATTTTGAACTTTAGAATATATTAAACCCATAAAATAAAGGGTAATATGAAATTATAATTTTTTATTAGGATAAAATTATATTTTTTAATGGTTATATTAATAGATATCAATGAAAATTGGTTACGTGTTATACATGCACAAATGTCATAAGATGTAGGAGTAATATTCTAAATGTGAAGAGGTCTAAATGATTAGGGTTAATCTCATTTTGCACCTCGAAAGATTGTTCGAATCTTAATTTACACCCTCAAAGATCAAAAATCTCAATTTACACCCTCAAAAATAGAAATTTGTATCAATGTGCACCCCCAAAGATCAAAAATCTCAATTTGCACCCTCAAAGATAGAAATTTACATCAATGTGCACCCCAAAGATAAAAAATCTCAATTTGCACCCTCAAAGATAGAAATTTGTATCAATGTGCACCTAAAAACTAAATTGATAAATTATACCTAGATTCTCTCATACTTGTCACTTAATCATTTAGACCTCTTCACATTTAGAATATTACTCTTACATCTTATGACATTTGTGCACGTATAACACGTAACTCATTTTCATTGATATCTATTAATATAACCGTTAAAAAATATAATTTTATCCTAAAAAAAAATTATAATTTCATATTACCCTTTATTTTATGGGTTTAATATATTCTAAAGTTCAAAATCTAGTTTACCATTTGAATGTCTAATAAAATGTAAATATTTATATAATGTTTTTCATATTACCTTTTATATAAATATCTACATTTTATTAGACATTCAAATGGTAAGCTTGATTTTTAACTTTAGAGTATATCGAATCCACAAAATAAAAGGTAATATGAAATTATAATTTTTTATTAGGATAAAATCATATTTTTTAATGATTATATTAACAGATATCAACGAAAAGTGGTTATGTGTTACACATGCACAAACGTCATGAGATGCAAGGGGAATATTCTAAATGTGAAGGAGTTCAAATGATTAAGTGACAAACATGAGGGGATCTAGGTATAATTTATCAATTTAATTTTAGGTGCACATTGATACAAATTTCTATCTTTGAGGGTGCAAATTGAGATTTTTTATCTTTGGGGATACACATTGATACAAATTTCTATCTTTGAGGGTGTAAATTGAGATTTGAACAATCTTTTAGGGTGCAAAATGAGATTAACCCTTCAAAGAATAATCACACCCAACATCTCATCCACATTTAATCCTCTCTCTCTTTCCGACTCTGTCTCTCCCCTTTCAATTCAGAATCTACATAGACCATTGATCTCTCTATAGACACCCTTACTCTGCAAAACCTGGTTGGAAATTATAGATGAGAAGAATAGTTAAATACTTGTTTTAAGATTTTATTGATTGAGGTGCGCGAAATCTACGGAGGTCGAAAAGCTTTAAACTAAATTTCCAAGGATCAGTGGTATTTATCGGAACCACAAAAAGGGATTGGGAATAACCCACTTGTTGAGGAAGATGGGGATTTCTAATGGACAAATTGGAGACGACACTAGAGACAATGGCAGCGACAAAAAATATCGACGGTGTTGTTGTTGTTGGTATGCATTGCCGGTAGCCTAGCATTTCCCGGACATCAGTCATAAAAGATCTAGTCATGAAGGTCGGGATAACGAAAGGTCGAGCTTTTTACTATACCCATGTCTCTCAAAAACATAATTTTCAAAATCAGTCACTTTTAAACTTATTTTCGAAACTCAGTCTCTTCTTCAAAACGTCATTTAAAATGACGTCTTCATTGTTAAAAAGGTCATTTGAAAAACTTCAAAAACTTTAAAAACTTTAAAAACTTCGTTCTAAATGACGTCTTTAAAGAAGTCGTTCTAAATGACATCTTTAAATTGCTATTTTAAATGGTTTCCTACTCCAAATTACTGTATGTTAAACATTTAAAAACTTCACACCTTTAAAAACTTCATTCTAAATGACGTCTTTAAAGAAGTCGTTCTAAATGACATCTTTAAATTGCTATTTTAAATGGTTTCCTACTCCAAATTACTGTATGTTAAACATTATATTGTCATTCCAAATGACGTCTTTTAAGAAAGTCATTCTAAATGATGATTTGTATAAACAAAATGAGATTCAAATTTCTTAAATCGTAGAACACTCAAGACAAAAATCCCAAATCAGACTCCCTCACCCAAACCTCTCCACCGGCGATTGATTCCGAAGCCTAACTCCGACGACAATGCTGCCTCAGTCTGACGTCGACTAGGAACTCTAACAACTCCAACTGAACTTCGACAACTCAACATAGGTATTCTCTTTCCCCCCTCTCTCCCTCTCTCTCTCTCTCTCTCTTGATCACTAGATTCACCACCCAAATCATTACCACCCTCTCCCTTCCACCCAAATCTCTCTCATGTGTTGAAGTGACAAAACCCTTATTTTTCATGGACACTAATGTGGGGATGACATAGGCGTCACACCTGTATAGTGGCTACACATATTTCATAAGACTGAAGAGTGAAAGGACCTTAGATGAGTGTGATCTCACATGACTATACACTGATGACCTCTCATGACTACACACTATTGGTTTACCTCAACACTGTGCAAATATTGATCGGTGAGCTTTTCAGCAAACCATGTGTTGAAGTGATACACTCATGAAGTGACTACACACTATTGATATGGCCTTGTCAATCAGTCTGTTGCCAATGTTTGAATTGAATCAACTTTTTTGAAACTCATGTGCTTAAATGACAAAACCTTGATATTGTACCATCAAGATTTGGAAACTACTATGTAAACACCTTATGCGTGGTCGATATGACATACATTGAACATTATGTCTACATCAAATTTCCCTATAATATATAATAATTGCAGATGTGAACGAATTTGGTTGTTAAAATAGAGAAACAATGATTACAAGAGAGATTTTTCGATCTAAAAGAATATTATGCAGGAGCATGATGAGAATGGGCATCTTGTGCTAATGAATCAGACGCATTATGCAAACAACTAAGAGAACTTGACATACTTTGCCACATAGATTTTGCACTAACGATGTAATGAAGGAATAAAAAGAACTGTGAATCTGTAGTAAAACATGTCCGAA